GATATTTTTCCTTACATGATATTCTTCCACTGTCACCCCCTTTTTTACTTTAAATAATAAGAAACTTTTGGAAATTTTATACTGTAGTCTTGATAGGTTTTACATTTTAACTTATTTGCACTACCCTATGATTACTTTAGATTCATTACATGTTGTGCAATTTTACCGTGGGACACAGAGAGGAATAGACAGAAGTGCTCCAGCCATGAAGACAGAAGAGACACAATTCAGAGATGGAAAATGCCGACAAAGCCTCAGCATACCAGCAGACAGCAGCTGCGGGTTGCTGAAGGATGCCCAGGACCAAACCAGAGACGGGCGGACCTGCATTACCACCATTTGTTGACCTACCAGATCTGAAATATCATGGCTGGCATGTACACATAAGGAACTATCTGGCATTGAAACTGGGATGCAAAAGAACTGTTGGCTCAGAAAGGAACTCACTACAGACTGATTCATTTGCCTCTCAGTATAACCATTATGGCTTGTTGCAGTTTAGGTTCTTACAAGGATATTTCTTGGATCACATGATCTCACACATCTAGAGGAAATAATGAACAACATAAACAGACCCAGAGAAAGAGAACCAGTGATCAGACTCTCAAACCTCAGAGGGAAAGTAAGGGAGGATGGGGGTAAGGGGAAGAAATCAACCAAAGGACTTGTGTGCATACATATGGGCCTAGCCAGTGGCCATGGACAATGGGGGGTGGGGGGGCATATCTAGAGAGGGGTTTGGGATGGGAATGGGGGAATAAGGACAATTATGTGAGACCATAATCAATAAAAAAAAAAAAATTTACCCCAAGAAGAACAAGGCTTAATGGGGGTTGAGTCACAGCAGAAAAACAAAACTTCAATGATTAATTCCTATATTTGAGGATAAAGGAAGAGATGTTTTCCTTTGCATATTATAGAGGAGCTAGGACTAACACCACCTATGAGCAAATCTTGCTCTGATAGGCTGCTAAAACAAAAAGGAAAATAAGAATCGTTGTATGTTCCCTGAGTTGTGATTTCAAGCCTCTTTGTGCTAGAGGTGGTCTCATTTGAGAGTCTATGAGACATTACATGGTCTCTGCCTCTGGATTCTGTCAGGGAAAAGGTCCCCAGCCTGCTCTTCCCATTAATATTCCACCTCCTTTAGTAACAGCAACTCACATTTTCCCAACAAATAGACTCTGTGAAAAGTACAAGTGAGCTTAGGACTAAAAAATTAACAATAATTGATTAGCTCATTTGAGATATCTGGCCACTAGATGCCATCATTTAATCATAGGCCATAGACTTCTCCTTTAAATTATAAACTATAAATATATGTATTTGAGGAAAGGGCCCTGGAAAACAACTAAAAATCTCTGGAACAAATGCTCAGAAAAGCCTCAGAAGTTTGAAAGCAGAAATGTATTTCAGGCAACTGTTTCAGTGAGGGCTGCCCAGTGTGAACTACAGAATAAAATGTTCTCCATTTTTAACCAGTTAACAATTAATAATTAATAACCAGCTTTCAGACACTGCAAACCAAGACACTTGCAGAATCTTTGTTCCCATTTCTCTCCAACTAGATTGATACCCTTCCTAGAGGAGCAGAGCAAGGTTGTTTTATACACCCCAACCTCAGAGCAATGTGGATGAGCTTCTCAGTCTGCTGAAAAAGAGGGGCCCAATGGGTAAAGCAATTATTTTAAATTGAAAGATATAGAGGTTACTAAATCTGAATAAGCGCCCACATTTTCTTTTTGGGAGTAGAACCAAGGATGATTCAGACAGGGAGAAAGGCAGCAGGATCTAAGAAATGAAGAGTCATGAGATTCCAGTTTTATTCCTGGCTCTACCCAAGACTTGCCATGTGACCACCAGCAAGCTACTTCTTCTCAGCTGGTCTCTCAGTTTTCCCTTCTTTAAAAGGAGACAGTCTTATCTACATCTTATAATTTACTCTGTGATTTCCTTACAAGAGGGAGAAAGAAGGGTATATATAAAGTATAGCAAAAGGCTAAAGGTGTGCTAAGCTCCTTAGACTTGGACAGCAGGAATATGAAAGTACTAGAGGCATGATGCACAAAATTCATGCATGGAGGGTATCCCTCAACCAGCCTGCACCAGCTCCAATCTGGGTCCCACTGGGATCGGGCCTAAATGGTCAGTTGGACTTCCTTCTCACAATCCAGGACAACTGGCTCTCAACTGCTCACCTGCCTGCCTTCCTGATTGCCCCTAACTGCTTCTACCTGCCAGTATGATCACCCCTTAACCACTCCCCTGCCAGCCTGGTTGATGCCTAACAGCTCCCCTGCCAGCCTGATTGCCTCTAACTACCCTTCCCTACAGGCCTATTCACCCCTAACTGCCCTCCCCTGCAGGCCTGGTCACTCCTAACTGCCCTCCCCTGCAGGCCTGGGTCCCCCCCCCCCAACTGCCCTTCCCTATAGTACTGGTTGCCCTCAACTTCCCTTCTCTGTTGGCCTGGTCACCTCTAACTGCCCTCCTCTTCAGACTTGATTTCCCCCAACTGCCCTCCCTTGCAGGCCTGGTCCCTCCCAGGAGCTAGAACTAACACCCTCCACTGCTGACCTGATCGTCCACAACTGCCCTCCCTTGCAGGCCTGGTCCCTCCCATATGCCCTCCCCTGCTGTCCATCTTGTGGTGGACATCTTGTGTCCACATGGGGGCAGCCATCTTGTGTGTTGGAGTAATGGTCAATTTGCATATTACTCTTTTATTACATAGGATACAGGCCTGTTGCACGGGTTGGGGATGACAAGCTTGCCTGAAGGGTATACCGGGTAAGGGTGGGGGTTCCCTTAGGGTGTGGGGTGGCCTAGGTGAGGGGCTTGTGGTGGTTTAGAGGCCGGTCATGCCCCTCTGCAACCCAAGTGGAGGACCTGGTATCTGGGATTTATTTATCTTCTATAATTGAAACTTTGTAGCCTTGATTGGAGGTCTGGGCCAGTCAGGGTGTGCAGGAAGTTTGGCTTCCTCCATTGCCTGGGAAACCCAAGCCTCCTGCTCGCTCTGTGGCTGCAGCCATCTTGGTTGGGATAATTTGCATACTTGCTCCTGATTGGCTGGTGAGCATGGCTTGTGGGTGTAGCAGAGGTATAGTCAATTTACATATTACTCTTTTTTTATTAGATAGGATTCCTCATTTACAATAAATCATATTAGTGGGACTTCTTATGTAGATAATCCATGAAGCAGAACATTAGCCTAATTTTATACATCCTAAAGTTTAATAATTAAGCAATTCAAGGTCAAGGACATTATAGGTTAGATGTTATTACCTACTAAAAAAGCATAAACCCACAATCCTGCTCCAACAAGCATTTTAATACCCAAGAAAGGAAGCAAAGTATCTCTAGGAACCAGAACCATTCTTACTGAGAGGGAGAAGAACAGGCAATGAGTGAATGTAGGAAAGATATCTCACTTACAATAGTTAGAAAGCTGTGTTTTCAGTGTCTGAGGGCTTCTTCACTAAATACTTTGGTTTCAAGTTTATAAAACTTTAAGCTTGTTTTAATGCAGGTTACTTTTTTTCTCTTAAAACAATTTAGCCTGACCAGCATGGCTTAGTGGTTGACCATCCATCTATTAATCAGGGGTTCACGGTTCTATTCCCAGTCAGAGCACATGTCCAAGGTTGTGGGCTTGATCCTCAGTGTGTGTAGGGGGTGTCATACAGAAGGCAGCCAATCAATGATTCTCTCTCATCATTGAAGTTTCTATCTCTCTCTCCCTCTCCCTCTCTCTGAAATGAACAAAAATATTTTTTGAAACAATTTAATTTTAGAATAGATAAGTCAGCAAGACGTAAATTTTTCTTTACAAAGTTGTACTTTAGCACCAATTGTTTTTGCTGGAACATACCAATTCCCAGAAGTGCAAAATATCTAAGAGTTAGTAGTACTCCAATACAATGACAACTGACATCCAAGATCAATTAATGACAAACCAGCAGCAAAACTCCTTCTATTTCATAGGAACACAGCTTAGTGTGGAGATCTAATAACATCTATATGAAGACTAATCTGATACATATTAATCATATGCTTAGTAGTTTTGGGGGCCCTTGCACTTGTCAAGGGAAGGCTTCATCCTTGCACACAAATAACTGACAACTTCACCCCACTACATACCTACATTCCAGAACCTAGCCAATAAGAGCAAGGACACAACACAACTTTTGACCTTCCATAAAATGTAAACTGTCCCTGGGTTTCATCCTGTTGAAGACATCCGAGATTGCTTTCATCCAAAAATAAATCTCAAAAATAAGTCCAGAGCAACAGAGATTCATTTTTTACCTGAGGGGACAAACATCTCACTGATCTTAGGGAGACAAGAACCATTCCAATTTCAAGATTCTAGGAGTACTTTAAATTATTTGAAATCATTTTCTAACCCTTCCAAAATAAATCCCTGCAAGGGCAGGGATTTATATATGTACTAGAAGCCCAATGCACACAATCTGTGCAAGAGTAGGCCTTCCTTACCCAGCTACTGCACCTGCTTCCCTCTGGCACCCTGGACCCAGGCTTCCCTCACAGCCCCAGCTTCGTCCAGAAGGGCATCCGAAAGGATGTCTGGTCTAATATATATATAATTTATAGCTATGATTTAGATATATAAATTATAAAAATAATAATAAAAATAAAATTATATATATACATCTGTTACAAGTCACAAGCCTAAGGCAGTGCTAGGTGCATAGTGAGAACTTGGGTGGAAGGTGTTAGCTTACTATATGAATGAGGAAATGGAATCTGCTCCTCGACCTTGGTGATTTTCTATTCTGGAGCAAAAGGAAGAAATTTGCAGAGAAAAGAAATCAAAAGACACACACATCAGCACAGCTATAATATAACTAGAAGTAGCAGGTGGGACCTTTCTGTTGGAAGATCATACAACTGTCAGTTCACCAATATGGGAACCCCCAGTGCCCTTGATCTCCCAGTTCTTCCACCTTCAGGCTACCTGAGGAAACTACACATACCTCTTCTTCCAGCTTTACCACCTTGGCCTGGGCGTTGCTCAGGGCCTGGTCTCGGATTTCGATGTGTCTTCTTTGGTCCTCATTGGCAGATCGGGCAGTGGCCAGCTCAGCTTCCAGCTTCTCCTTCTCCCGCAGGCTCTCCTTATCTATAAGGACATGAAATGTCCACACTATCGTTCTGAAGATGGCTCAAAACCTTACCTGAGCATAACTGCCAATCATACCCATTACTAAACATTATAGTGTTCTAGCACACAGATAAATGAACCAGATAGATCCGGACTCTGTCACTGGCTCTACCACTACTAACTTGCTTTGTAAATTAAGAACAGTCACTTAAAAGTGGCTGTTGAGCAGAAACAATGAGAAAGTAGAAACAAAAATTGTTTTGAAAAGTATTACACAAAGGAGAACACACACACATACACACATCAGAAGAATATGTAGGCCTGTCTCCTCAATTTTATATCTTCAAATGGTCTTATATTGGTAAGAAGAAGAAAAAGAAGAAAGAAGAAGAAGAAGAAGAAGAAGAAGAAGAAGAAGAAGAAGAAGAAGAAGAAGAAGAAGAAGCAGCTCCCCCACATTTTCCCCATTAAAAAATCAATCTAAAAATTATATTTCACAAAATGCACAAAAAATTCAAATCCCACCCTTTACTAACATTATTTTTTAACTGAGATCAATCTATAATTGCACTGTATCTACAGATGACAGTGACACATCTAGTTATTCTCTATGTCTTTCTAGGTCTTTCTCCTAACTAGGACAGACTTCATCCCAGAAACTCAAATGAACAGTTCTGATTCTCATTTGGAGGTAGAGTACTCTTCCTCTTGAGACCTTAATACTTAAGTTTATAGGAGAAACTTTAATAGGGCGGCCTCACCTTCCTTCTTATTCTGACTTTATATATCTATTGATATGCATCTTGAAAAGAAATGAATATTTGTTGAATATTTATTGCGCATCAAATGTTGCGTGAACTTTATCGTCAGAACAACCATATTAGGAAGGCATTATTCTCCTCTTTTCCATTTTGCTTATAAGAAAACAGACACTCAGAGGAGTTGAGTAACTTGCACAAAGTTCCACAATTGGTAACATAAGTACTGGAGATCATAATTAAGGTCAAGTTGTTCTAAGCTCTTTCTAGCGTACCAGACTGCCTTATGCTAGAGTCCAGTTGGTTTGGCCTCTACAGTAGTTTGAACACATTCCCCAGGGAGGCTTTTCTAGAGGGCTTTCTTGGCTCCTGCCACAGTTCCAACCAAAAGCAAAGTCCAAAGGCAAAAGAAATTAAAGGGCCACAAGTCATACTCTCTTCCCTGCCTATGAGATGGAGTCCATTTTTTCCCTTCTAGAACCATTTAACAGTCTTTCACTCTGCTGTTAGTACAATTTAATCTGCTAAACTATCACATTTTCTACATCAGTAACAGAACTACTAGGACACCTGAAATACCAACTCCACATAGAGAGGAGTGCCAACTAGCAGAACCAGGGTGAGAAACCATACATTTTTCTGTTTTGTTTTTTCCCTGGGAGGCTGCCACTCTGTCCACCAGTGAACTAGCTTCCAGAGTAAACGTGACACCGGGAAAGCAATCTCAAAATGATTTACAGTAGGCACTGATGACACCAGAAAAACCACATTCCTTACTCTAAGAAATACTGACAAAGGAACAGCAGATTCAGGGAAATGATGAAGAAAAATTCCCAGTTCTGAAGCCAGAGCATAATGGAGTAACCATTAAGGAAGGGGGTATTGCAAGAGGAGATCAAACATACTTGTAAAAGCTGACTCGAAGCTACATGGAATGACTTGAAAGGGTCATGTTAAGGCCCAGCAAAGATGGGGCCTGACAAGTACCACCAAGTACTACTCCAGCTGGGAGCCAAACTGAGGGAAGCTGGGAGTAGGGACACCAACTAAGGACATCTGCAGAAGTGGGGGTAATTCATGCTTCCTCTGAATTCATTCTCCCTATGGACTCAATCCACTGTGTAATTTTTATTGCTGGTTTTATTGTAGCAATTGGAAAGAATAAGGCATTGTCTTGCTGGGTGGAGTCCACTGGAGACTGATAAAGAAGAGGATTAATTCATTGTCCTGGTCTTTGGAGTATTTTAAGACAAAGGAAACACTATTTTAAGTAAGACATAGCTCTACCCTTCCCCATACCCTCCAATTCTGTAGTCAGAGTCACTAGTTCAGGCCATAGCAATGGTCCCCCTCTAGCTACCCTTGTAATCCTCCAAGATATGATGATATGACAATATAAGGTGTTTTAATTAAGGGAGTCCCAGGAGCAGGTGGTATTGCAAACACTAATCATCAATCCTGCAAGCTAATTCCAGCTCCACCAGAGCCAGCACATGGATCCTTCAACAACAAATCCTGTCAACATGAAAAGACCCCATGGTCACTAAGGTTCTTTTCAGGTAGCCACAACAAATGCAGGGACTTCAAGGGACTTTTCTGGTTTTATACAGAAGGAGCCATATGGATCTCACTAATTGTTGTGGCAAGCAGCCTTCTTGGCCTATAAAATACACACACACTCTCTCCCAACTTCATGCTTGAACAGGAAAAAATACTTCCTAGATGACATCCACTCTGCCCTGACTTTTCAAGGCTAAACAGAACTATGTGCCCTTTCCCACACCTCATTCCCATCCACACATTATTATCTGCTGCTAAAGCTTTCAGACTTACTTTTTGCAAAGAGCTGAGAGATGGTTTTTCTGGTATCCTCTGTCCCCTCATATTCTTTCTCCGCAAGCTGTTTGTTGGCAGTCTCCAGACGCTCTGTGGAATTCGAACACAATCAACATAATCCCATACACAAACTTCCATGCACATGCTGCTGGCTCTCTCAATACTGAACTTGTGCAAACAAGCCAGCTTCTTCTTGTTACACAAAAATGGGTGACACAGACATACATTTGTAAGTGTAGATCCCCAAACAAATAGAACATTGCAGCATAAAAAGCCAGTCAGTGAAAGAGAAACACCACATGACCTCACTCATTTATGGATGATAAAAAACATTATAAACTGAAGAACCAAAAGATAAATATAGAGACAGTAAAGCAACAAGCAGACTGTCAAATTACAGCAGGGAGGGTAAGGAGATCTGGGGTAGATAAGAGATCATCCGAAGGACTTGTGTATATGCATATAGTACAACCAATGGACACAAAACTCTGGGGAGAGAGGGCATGTATGGGAGGGGGGCAATGGTATATGTACAAAGATAATAATTTAATAAAAAAAATTAGAACATTGCAAGGAAAGAGGAGTTAAGTACTTAACACTTTTGGTCCATGCTGACAAAATCTAAGTGCAGAATTCTACATTTCAACAAAGGAATCTATCCCTGAAAATATATATATAATATCATTCACCTAGAGAAAAAGCATCAGAGTTATAAAGTCTTTAAAACCCTGTACTGTCAAAACTGGAAGGGGACCATAGGCAACATTTAGGTCAGTTGCCTCATTTTACAAATAAGATAACTTAAATTCAAAGACAGAAAACAACATTGCCAGGATCATCAATTTTGAAAGTGTTGAAAGTAGTTATTTCTCACCATCTTTAATATTATCATGTTAAGGTAAAAATACAAAGGGGGAGTCCTAGAAACAATGGAGGTTATCACTATTTCAAAACTTCCTCTGCCAAAACACTTGGCCTCTGCAAAATTTATAAAGGAAGAGAAGCAGCACCAATTGTGGGGGCGAGCTAGAGGAGTCCAGGAGTCCTAGGTTAGGTACCAACTGATTAACATATCAACTCATCCCACTTTGATTAAGCAATCTTGGGACCAAGTATTATTGTAGTCACAAAAACCTGACCTGGTGTATGCCCTGCAATTTATTAATTATACTAATGGACTGAACAAACCTAAGAGCCTCAACGTGTTCTCCATAGCCCTTCCCTTCAGATGTGATTCCCTCACCTCTCAGATCCCTATTAAAGTCATGCATCCTTCGAATCTCCCCTTCAAGCTTGTTTCTCATGGCTTTCTCCAAGGCTTCTCTCTTAGAGGATGACTTCACAAGGTTCTCATATGCCTCTGAGACACGTTGGATTTCTGTCTCCACCTGAAAAAAAAAAAGGAGAGATAGTGGGGAAGGTTGGAGCATGATAGAAATATGGTCTAAAACATTCATGCAAATCCTTAATGACAACTTCCTCCAGAGCTTTATTGATGGCTGGGAGGCATAACACAGATTACAAAAGTTTCCCAGAAGGACAATTATCTCACTGGCTCAGGAAAATTCCACAGGTTTAAAAAAAAATACAGTTTCTGCCTTCAGAGAAGGTAGTAATGGAGAATAAATTTAATAATATAAATCATTTTCAAATATGAATTAAGAATTTTTTTTAATTTGACAATAATAATGTATATAGTATGTAGGTAATATTACTCTAGAGTGCTCAAAGGGCTTTTACATGTTTTTTTTGATTGGCCTTGATATCTGCCTTCACAAGGACACCTCTCCCCATTTTAGCAAAGAGAAGAGTGAAACTGCCTTTTCGAACATGACACTAGTGGCAGAAGCAAACTGTAAAAACGCCAAGCCTCAGACTCATGCAGTAGTTCAGTTCAATTTAACAAATATTTACCAATGGCCAAATAAGGGACTATGGAATATCTAAAAATGAGTGAGGATATTATAATTGACCTCAAGAAGCTTTTCAGCTAATCAAGTAAAAGACTTTAGGGGAAAAATGAGAGAGAGTAAGAGTAGTCCTTTAAGTGTAAATGAGGAAGAAGTTATTCCTGTTGAGGGTAAGGGGAGAGGGGATAATTTCAGAGAGGAGGTGGCATTTAGAGTTAGATCCTAAAAGATAGATCAGATTTCAATGAGCACAGGTGAGTGGAAGGGTATTCTATTCTGAGTTTGTGAATGCATTCCCAGAGTGACCAGTAGTTCTATTTGGCTGGACACTGTGGGGTACACAGAGGAAAGCTATGAGATCTGGCTGCAAAGATAGAATGGATTGAGATCATAAATGGGCTTTACTGCCAGGCATTTGGACTTTATCCCATAGCCAGTGGGAAGCCAGTACATACTTTTTAACAGAAATTCATAATCAGAGTTGTGTTTTATGACACTCTGGCAAATCGTGTAAAATGGAAAAAAACAACACAAAACATCAAAGAGAAAGAGTTTTGCCCTGAATCAGCCCAAACAGCAAGAAAATAAGAAATTAGACTTCAAAGTCTTTCTGTAACCAGTATAGCTTCATTGCACATATAATAACCACAGGACCATTTGCATATAATTTAAATGACACAAATAAGCCCCATGGTCTATTAAGCAATTTTCAAAATAAATGTGATTCTTGCAACCGTTCAGCATTCTCTCTCAGTTTTCTACTATCCTCCTTAACAAAGCTCAGGGTGCATTTCAGGGAGATATCTCAGGCTGAAAGCCTGGGGGAAAGGTGTGGTTACCAAACAATCCAGATTCCACCTGCCCCAGCTCCAAAATTTTGCCTGATGCAGGACTTCCTGCAAACAAATGAGGCTTACACCCCAGAAAAGAGCAGACTTGAGAATGTTTTTCTCCTTGCAGATGGCACCAATATAACAGCACAGAAGGGAAAAACTGGTGAATGGCATTTAGAGACATGATCTGCAAGGCTTGGGCCTGATAAAGCTTCCTCGTGAAATTCAAGTGCTGCATAGAGAAAATAAACATTTCCATTTGAAAGAGCAGCTTGGTGTTTGTCTGCTCTGGGCAGTTTTAACAAGGCTTTCCAGTTCTCCACAGAATACCACACCTGGAAGGCAGTCCCTCTACTCAAGTTGTTCAGAGTACTATTTCAAGATCTTACACCAATCCTTTCCCTGCCCCCGTGTAGATACTGTACCCTCCAAAAGGGCAACTTGTACGCTCGTAAACAGAACCTTCCAGGAAAAGAAGTCACAAGAGGGCACATCCACTATTCTGATCTACGCAATGGTGGTGACCAGGGAGAGGGAGGGTAGTGGTGAGTTTCCAGGCTTATTCTATCTATTTAAACCCATCATAAACCTTGGGCCTCCTTATTTGTTCTATACTAGCAGGTATCTACACCTCATTCTCTTCACATTCCCTTTCTTCTTCTAACTCACCTGTCCCAGGTCCATTGCAGCACTGGGTTGGCTTCGCTTCCCCCAGCACTCAAGGTGTGTCAATTACACTCAGTTGAAGCATCTTTACCCAAACTTTGGAACAAACACCACAAATCATATTCTGCCCCTCTTCCAGCCACCCACTCTCCCCCTAAAAAAAAAAAAAACACCATGGATCCATTGGTGAAGAGGGACTATAGAAGATCTGGGTCCAACTTTCAGTTACTACATCAAATATGTGGCTGGAGCCACCCTGAATAGAGAGTTTGGGAAGGATATCAACTGTTAAATCTAATCAGATAAACTGGGCCAGCCTACCTCTAGTGTGTGAATATGATCCATTTAGTGAACCAATGTGATGGGGTGAGGGTATTGTTAAATGAAGGAGGGAATTTTTAAATTGGAGGCAAAGTCAGGGAGAAACTGATCTCACTTAACCCCACCACCCACATCCTGATTTGGAAACATTGGGGGGAAATGTTTTTACTACATAAAAATACTTAGCTGACAGTAAGTCTTCCTCTCTCCTTTAAAACCCAGATTTGGTGTTTACAAATTCTCAGCTTGATCCAGGCCCCTGAAATTTCCACTTGCTGGTATCTCCTAAGGACAAAGTTGAACAATACCAGGCAACCTCCCTTCCCTCTCCCATATTCACCCTCACCTCCCTAAACAGTTTGCATTGAAGGGAGATCAAACCACAGGAGCTCTACAATGACAAAAGCTGCAAAACGGCTGCCAGAGGCATAATCCTATTCACCAACAGCCACTGGAAGCCAAGAGCTAAGGTTCTTAGTTTAGAGCACTCAAGAGCTCAAGTCCCAGCTGCAGGAGACAAGAAGGGCCCAGGAAAGAATGTGAACTAGGGACATACATTCCTTTTTCTCCTTCTTCAGCCTAGGGCTGTCACCTGTCACCCAGCTGTGGTGCTAAACCTCTCCTTCAGAGAGAGAGAGAGAGAGAGAGAGAGAAAGAGAGAGAAAGAGAGAGAGAGAGAGAGAGAGAGAGAGAGAGAGAGAGAGAGAGAGAGAGAGAGAGAGAGATGTTGAATGTGAGCTACAGGGAAGGACCAAAGGGAAAAAAAAGGATAAGGAAGTGGGTGTTGAAAAACAGTTACCATGGGAATTTCCACTTGGAAAAGTGCTCTAAGCCCTTTCCAAAACAAGGCAGGGCAGGATCAAACTTCAGTGGTGAGATTTCTCTAGAAACTATGATTTTATGTTTAGGATTCAAGTTCAGTATTAACTATAAGCAAGACAAAATGTCTTTCTGCTGATAGGTTCTTCACCTTCTCAGACACCACCAGTGTTCTTGACCTTATAAAGAAGTTTCACTACCTATTGGGATTCTAAAGCAATCAATCAAGTTTTCTTAAGGCTATGGTGTCTAGGAAAACTTCCTCCTCACATAAATATAAAATGTTAAGTATCCTAGAAAGAAAGGTAGAGGCTTTTCCCAAAGTCTCAAGTATATATAACCTTCAGATATAAGAATCCTTGCCCTAGTCGGCTTATGGACCGAAGGGTTCTGGGTTTGATTTCAGTCAAGGGCACGTACTTTTGTTGCCAGCTCCTCCCTGGCCAGGGCCCTCATGCAAGAGGCAACCAATTGATGTGTTTCTCTCACATCAATATTTCTCTCTGTCTTTCCCTCTCTCTACCACTCTCTTTAAAAGATCAATGGAAAAATATCCGTTGATTAACAGATATTTAATTAATGAGGATTAACAAACAAACAAAAAAAGATATAAGAATCCTTAAGACCGGCATATAAGTCACTCAGGCTCCCACAAATGGAGACTTTTACATCGATATTAAACATATAAGATTTAAAGGAGCCTCTAATATCCCAATACTGGGGCCTCACCTTCTGCAGTCTTGCCACCTTCTCATAGCATCCTTCCAACTCCTGCCGCAAGTTCCGGTTCTCCTCTGAGAGGATCTCAACCATCTGCTGGGCTCTGGAAACAATGGCAAAAGGGTCTGCCGGCATTGGCTGATAAGAAGCAGAAGACTGCTGAGCTCTAGGCATAGTTGAATATGCTTCTCCAAGCTGTGGCTGCTGCTGCTGGTGATGGTGGTGATGGTGTTGCTGCTGCTGCTGCTGACTCAGGCCCGGCTGGGTGAGACGGTAAAGATCACTCTGGTGAGTCTGATTAGGAAGGAAATGTTGCTGCTGCCTAGGTAGGTGAGCCAAGTGGTCTCCTTGGTTTGGGACCAATGGATGTTGAGCAGGAGATAATCTAGTGGATGGTGGAGACTGCAGCAAGGACAAGGAACCCCCAGACGTGAGGGAAGAAGTAGGGCTGTGAAGTTGAGAGTTCCTGGCCGACAAAGGCAATGAGATGTCTTGTGTTGGCCTGTAAAACATAGAGGGTATATTAAGGTTAAACTCTCTCTAAAGGCACTGGGGGAGAAGGACACAAGAAAGTGACATGAGGAGGCTTTCAGTCTCCCCAGGACACCTGCAACCTGACCTCCAGTCCTTTCTAGGTCTGACCTTCTATGACTGCCAGAACAGAGACATCATCTCATAGAAGACTGAACCAGGTGATCTCAAAGGTCGCTTTGTGAAAATTAAAGTGATGTATGCCTATACTCTTGGTGCTCAAGTAGAAGCATTTTAAAAGAGTCTTCTTCAAGTTACTTTTTCTCCTCACCTCATTTTAAACTAAACCTTTTCTGGTCTGGCACAAATAAAGAGTCAAGTTTAGAAAATATGTTCTACTTGCCCAAAAGGAAATAGTGAACAACAATAAAAAACATCCCTCGTCTTGCTATCTGCAACTCTCTTTGATAATACATATATTCACAAAAATGATAAGTAAATACTTTTTTAGATAGATTACAGTTATTAATAACTGACTGATAGCTATTAGGTAGCATTTAGAATTAGATCCTATATATAGTTAGTAGGATCTAACTCTATTTGTGGATAGTAGTAATAATACCATGGCCTTGAGGGGTTTAAAGGCAAGACTACTGTATGATTTTTGATGTACTAAATCACAAAATGTAAGGACTGGAAAGGCCTCAATGAAATAATTTAATCCAACTCTGTAAATGGAGAGAGGGAGAAAATAGGTCTAAAAAAAGGAAGCAATATGCCAAATATTACATAGTCAGTTATGGGGGTACCAGAGCAGACCCCTCGTTTCCCAATTCCCATTTCTAGGCTCTATTCACTAACATAATATATTGATTTCCTTATGTTGATGTTCAGATTCATAGCCTATTGCTTACAGAAAGTTCCAGAAAGAGAACTTTGGTACATTGTCTAATGTGGCTTTCTCATTTTTATACTTAAAACTGGACTACTGTCCATTAAGAGAAACAATCAGAATATGAAAATTGATCACTTCCACCATCATCACCACAAGGAAGAACATCTATCAATATACACACAAAAAAGCTTATACACCCCACCCCATGCCCATGCCCAATGCACCTCATATACTCCCAAATCCTGTAGATGCTTATCCTACAATTTATATTTCTCAATTCAGGGAAGACAGATGGCTAAGAGCATGGGATTTGGATCCCAACAGAGTTGAGAGACCTTTTCTACTGCTTACTAGCTGTATAACATCACTCATATGACTTTATCTGAAAGAGCCTGTTTCCTTCCTGAGGTTACAACTTAATTATAAAAATTCTGGATTCTCTCATTTTGGAGCTCAATAAGAATTACAAAAGTCTTTTATCTAGTGATTTTGCTTATCAGATATTCATTTAATCTTTGCACTGAATTGCATGCAATTCATGATGGAACTGGGACAAATCACCAGGAGCAATTAACTTTTAACTGGTATTCCAGATGCTAAAGCACATCTCTCCTACATACACTCCAGTTATCATTATTGTTCATTTATATAACTCGACAAGAGATCCTCACTATTAGGGATTTTTACTGCTACAAAATCATTCCTACCACTTGCTCATGGACACCCAATTACCTCAAAGCTGCTCCAGCCTAAGTTTCTGTCTCTCAGCCCCATCGAAGTCTCTGGTGTACCCATATTCTTCCAACTTCATACATATGTCACTATAAATAATTACTAAATATTGAAGAGGGCATGAGAACTATTTGTGGATAGAAGAATTTACACAGTTCTTCTGATTACCACTGGAAAGTTACTACCTTCACATGACCTTTCTTTCCATGAGCTCAAAGCACTCCTCCAATCAAAGGCCTGGGAGCTGTATACAAATATATATGCGAAATATAGTGGCAACCATACTTTGGTAAAAACTGCTGTTTGAATTTTAACTCTTCTAGTTTGGCTCTTGCACTTGATTAAATAGGGGGTAGGTGGAGAAAACAAGCTATTTACCTTAGCTTTCAGGTGGACACTTGGAGGCTAAAGCAATTTTCTCTTGGGACCAGGACCACAGGAGATTAATTCCCACTAACTCAGAACCTTCAGAGATAAACACTGTAGATAACCTCTGAGCTCTGCTTCTGTGTTATCGGCTATCACAAGATAGGGCCACATTCCAATGTCCAGCAGGATGTGACTAGAAAGACCCTTTGGGCTGACCCCAGTCTTTAGAATGTAGTCTTTAAGATTTAGAATTTAGAACAAAGGAAAATTCCTGTGGTTTGAACCTTTAAAAGGGATTGCCTACCCCTGAAACGGGGCAGTCATTTGGAGACCACCTGCATGTGGTGCTCTTGCCACTGCCCTGGCCAGATATTTCAATAAATCTTTGCCTGCTTTTTAATCAATCATCAGCCTCTGGTGGTCTTATTCTAAACCCAGGGTTCGACCCCACAACATATGTATATATGTATATATATGTATATGTGTATATGTGTATAGGTATGTGTATATGTATAGGATAATGTGATATATATATATATATATATATATATATATATGATAACCTTAAATTTATATATAAATTTAATGTCCTGGAATTTGTGGGGGCTATTGGATATCCTGAGTAGAAAAGAAGAGCTTATATTTCGTGTTCTCCAATCCAGCTTTCAAAATTTAAGGGAAAAACAAGCATATTAACCTCCATCCTCATTGTCAGGATTTGGAAACCCGAGGCCTGGAACATGTTCTCTTTTAAAGACTGAATGCTCATTCTGAACTGGGCTTCTTCCTCCCAGCTCCCCTGAGTGCCACCAGCAATCCAGGCCTCTCCTTCAACCAGAGTGGCCACTGGTCTCTCTCCTATCTGGAGGCTGAAAGGACCCTCCTTGCCCTGAACAGCTCATGGTACCCTGGGGAGCTCGGGAAGGAGAAGACCAAGAGATCTGTGGCTCTGGCCATCATGACTCTGGGCACTGCCTAGGAGATAAGGCAGTTGCCCCTCAGCTTCCCCAGGCTGGAAAAGGAAGCAGATTTTAGTGCACTGTGATGTTGGAAAGACCAAGGCAGTCGATCCTTGGCAGGTTTGCAAACATGAAGCAAGGCTTGGGCAGTGAGTTGTAAAGAGAGAGAAAGCCCTCTAGCCAAGGAACTCCATCTAGGCTCCAGCATCCACCCACCACAAAATTATCAAGGCAGTATTAACACTCTTGTGAAGTTTCCACTGAGAGGAAGGGACTGAGGAATGACAGGGCTAGGGGAGAGCTCGGGGGATATCAGGGGAAGCAAAAACACACTAGAGACTAAATAATGCACATAATAGCAATAATAAAGGTGGCAGTTGGGTGAGCAGCACTCTCCCCAGCACAGCAGAATGAATCACTCCCCACTGAAATATTAACCAGGAATAAGCTGCCAGCAGACAATAGAATCACATGATCCCATAGAAGCCCTGACCTGCATCCCTGCCCCTTCCCTCCCTTCATTCTGTTCCTTTCTAAGACAATCTGGTTCCCTTGTGCTCTGTGGAAAAGGGGAAAGGGCATATATGCAGGGCAGAGGCCAATGGTCAAAAGCAGCAACCCCCCAAGCAGAGAGAAATCCCTCCCAGAGACAGACAGCAAAGACACAAAAGAAAAGCAAAAACCGGTCTGTTGAGTTGACATTCCACCTTCCACCTTGCTACCTCACTGACTGGAAGTCCCTGCCCTCCCCGACCACATACTCCACACACATATATGCACACTCCTGGCTCACACGTGTGCAAGCCCACACTTATATTCTCACCAGAGCAGGTGCCACCAACAGCCTGGAACCCAATTTATTCTCCCCACAGAAACGGTGCCTTTCTTAGGCTCTGTGGTAGTGAAGCTGTGTATCCTGGACTGGGCTTCAAATTCTTGATTGTTTCTCTTGCACAACCAGCTCTGCTCTGAACTACAGAGTTAGGTCACCCTTAGATTCCACTAAACAAGGATTTGAAGAAACTTCAGATCTGGGCACAATTTCAAAAACTGAAAGGAGGTGGCTGCTTTACAGAGATTTAATTTTTAAAAACAGTTGATAAATGTTTGCAAAACCCCAAATGGAGAAAAGGCTCAGCACTTAAAAAGACAAAAGATTCAGAGAATTTTTAATTCTTCACATGTCCTGGCTTTGTTTCCCATCTGGAGTTCTGAGCATTCAGAATATTTATTTTTTTAAGTGGGGAGGAGGGCATAGGGAAGATGAAGTAATAAAAAGATTGTTTATAACATTTTGTTCATTTTAACAGCAAATCTTTAGCATTTCACTGCACCTTGAAAGGCAAACAAAGGTTTTTTTTAACAGCAATTTGTTCAAAGAGCTTGCTTTGCATCCCTATCTGTAATTTGTGGATTAAGAACTAGGAATTTAGTCTTCTAATTGTTTGGTACTAACAGCAGTTCCTTGTGAAGGTATTCACAAACTGTTAAAGCAAATAAGGAGGACAAATGTGTCACCACTTGAAAGTGTGCACTTCAGGAAAGCAATTCAACTACACCCCCTAGCAATTTGTCCTTAGTCCCATGCCCTGCAAACATTTTATTGCCTGAATTTTTCTGATGCTGACCCAAACTTTACACAGAACATCTTTTAAGTTTTGTTATTCATCGAGCATATCAAGCACCCTGATCCTCTCCTATTGAGGGAAAAAAAATGTTAGAGCAAACCTGTCTATTAAAATGCTGCTCAAGAGAGGGTAAGCAGCATGAGCTCTACTATTTTTGGTGACAGGAAGATAGAACCATAGATAATGTAGGAGGGAGGAGAAAATACAAGTATCTTCCTGTAAAACAGATGCAGCTAATTTTTTTTTTTTCTGGTGGTTTAATCAGTATGGGAAGAATAAAAATCCTTCTTTGGGTTCCTTGTTATTTATTTAGGCAGATCAAAGAACTTTTCCAACTAGCTTCAAACACTGTGGGAGCCATTTCAGATCACGAACAATACTGGTGAATGAGTTCTGAAAATAGCTTTCCTGGGGAGGCGGGCCATGTGCTGAGTGGGGCTTTGGATTCTACTCCACACCCCAGCCAACACACTATCCTCCCACAAGGCAACCGACGTCAGCCCATCCACATACGGTAGGGAGTCCCACAGACTCTTTCCATACTAATGGGAAGAACAAAACAAAAACCCTGGCTTCACTGACATTTTACTGGCTTGGATGGTTTTCCACTAAGCTAAGCAGTCCAACAGACCAACCCCTCCCTAGGTCTTCCGCTTCATTGGACAGATGAGAATTGGGTTCTTGATCTCATTTAAACCAGAAGGGCCCTGTCCGTTACCCCATTTCCTGTTCCAAGCCACTTATCAGAACTTTGGCTCCTGCCCTCTGAAAGCTGCACGGAAGAGTTAAGGGAGAAAAAAAATCCTAAACTGGCCAAGTTAGGGGTGGAACCCAAAGTGAATTGTCTCTTGTTAAAAAATGAACCTGGAAAGGGAAAATAATGAAATATCAGGAAATGCCAGGTGCATTCTCTCACCTCACCTCTAACTCCACCCCTTGACTGCCTTGTCTCCACAGTCACCCAATGAAGAACTGTAAGCCAAGAGGCTTTTTCCCAAAGCAGTAAGAAGGAGACAGGAGGCAAAAAGTTAGACATCAAAGAGATTCACAAACCTAGACTGGGGGCCCCCTAAGGTAAAAGCCACCCTAGGTCCAGGCACTTCAAATGTCATGGCCACCAATAATTACCCAAGGTAACAGGGCAGGAATACCACGTAACTTCCATCATTGTTGCCCATAGACTGAAATCTACTAATCAGAGACATCATCCCAATAGCAATAATAGAAACAATGAACTACATAATGGAATTATAATATCTGGTTGATACAATGGACCCCCTGAATAAATCAGAAGTATACATGGGTGGACAAAAATAGGTTTACAGTTATAATACAAATAAATAATACAATTATTAATAAATAATAAAATAATAAACTATATGTGTTGTGTACTCACAACTATAAACCTATTTTTGCCCACTTGAGTATTTAGGAAGAATTGAATATATAAAACAGTACTCCTGAACTAAGGACAGATGCTAGAGAAGTCATTGGTGTATTTTGCCTTCTACATTTTAGCGTCTGACCAAAACTTCCATATAATATGATGTGAATTTAAATTACATGCTTAAAAACACAACAGGTAACTAATAAAGTCTCTATAGAAGAAAGATGAAGCAATCCAGATTTCATAAACTGAAAGGAAATACAAGACAAGTTATATTCTGAACCTGCATGTTCCTTCACAATAACATTTTGGTATTTTTTTTAGTACAAAAGAATCACAATAATTCCTCCGAAAGATGTGTTCACAAAAATATGTGATGAGTTTTGCAGAGGAGGATAAGTAGTAGTGATAGGATATTCTAGACTAATTTAAGTCCAAGATAATTTGCTTCTGCTACTAAAGGAAGGGCTTAAACTCATCAGATAAACAAACACTGACAAAGACAGGACAGCAAATAACTGCTGAAATCAAGATTTGTGCTCCTGTTCATCCACTAGGCAGGTGAGGCCATATTCAACCTATAGAGCTCAGGGAATGTTAATACAGTACCAATTATGGCTAGAAATTTAGATTGACTATTTTCCGGCGTATAAGACGACCCCCTAATTTTATGTATAGAGTCTTTGGTATAACAGACTCTGCAATGCATGACTGGCTCTTGACTTACCATATTTTCCAGCGTATAAGATGACCCCTAATTTTACAGTTAAAACATATGTTTAGGCCTATATTCGCTGTATAAGACTACCCCCCACTTCCGAGGCAACACCAGTTCTTTTTTTAATAGACCGCCTCTCTGAATCTGGCCAATCTGAGCAGGCTTTTTACTAGAACACAGTGAAGCTACAGATTCAGAGAGGCGGTCTATTAAAAAAAGAACTGGTGTTGCCTCGGAAGTGGGGGGTAGTCTTATACAGCGAATATAGGCCTAAACATATGTTTTAACTGTAAAATTAGGGGTCATCTTATACGCCAGAAAATATGGTAAGTCAGGAGCCAGTCATGCATTGCAGAGTCTGTTATACCAAAGACAGGCCCATTCCTTTCCTTAAGATTCCTAACACACAGCAGAAGCTGGTTGGGGGAGGAGGTCAGAAAATCATAGAAAGGGAACTCTCTTACCTGGCTGCTCCATACTCAGGGGGATGCTGATACCTCATCAGTTGCCCCTCTGTTCTCCCTGGCTGGTTCAGACGATGCTCACTATAGAAGTGCCCTGGTTCTTGGGGCTTGCACACTACAGACTGGGGTGGCATGCCCTTGAAGGGATACTCTGGTGGGGGGCCTCGGTGTTCCATGCCCTTCAGAGTATGCTGGCCGGGAGGCCCTTGGGCCTTGTAGAATTCACTGGAACTTGTGGGATTCTTGTAGAGGTCATTGGGTTGTGGTGGAGAGAGTGGAGCGCTGGTAACAGGCGGATGGGCCTTAACTCCACTAGTGGCCAGTGACATCTGCATTAGTCGTTCACTCAAAGAGCGGACATGTCCTTGCTTAAGGTCTCTGAGTCCTTCATCCTGGTGCATCTTCCCAGGATTGAGACGCTGAACTGATGGTCGTCCCTCCGTCCTCATCTTCTGGTTGGTGACTCCAGTGACATAGAAGGCAGCTCCAACACTGGCATGCTGTTGGCCCCGAAAGTACTGGGACTGGACCTTGGCTTCTTCATAGGTTGGGAGTTCTTCATTATTCTGCATTCGAGGGGAAAGTTGCTTCTCCATGATGATATTTTCTGACTGAATTTCCTGCCCTTGGGGTTCTTGTCTAGCAGCATGGGCCACAAGCTGTTGGTGATGGTCTTGGGGACTCAACACATCATTCTGAGGACCTGGGTTTCCACTGCCACTGGGGAAAGGAGGGACAGTCCCTGTGGCTTGCTGGTGTATGGCAAGCAGGTTGCGATTCTCATTAGGATTGCCATAGCGAAGCTGCTCTTGTAGCAGACGCTGCAACACCGTGGTTCCTCCACTTGGTTGTTCTTCAGAATTTCTCATCTCTATTGCTGGTGGTGCCTTGTGAAGAGAGAGAGAAATTGGGCACCTGGGCTGCCCTTGACCTAGGAAGGGGAAACAGGAAGCTTAACACCCAATTGATGGATAAATCATTCCTCTAAAGGGGAAAAATGGGTATTGAGGGGTGCGGATTCCTTTGCAGATACAAAGTAGAGAATTGAATCTAGAATTAATAGATTAATTGTTGGTGACTCCCGACCCTAGCATTGATATGATTAGGATGTTGGAGGCATAAGAACTCTCCATTTCCTCTTTCACTTTTAGCATGGGTTAAATATTTAATTTTGACTTAACTCTGTAGAGAACAGGACAAATCTGGAGCAGTCAAGTAGGGTGATCAAAGAGGGCAATCTTCCTAGGACCTTACAAGATTCATCTCTCTATATTCTATTTCAATGAAAAGTTGTGGCAGTGGGGGCAGGACAGTGGAGAGAAGTTGTCCGGCAGACAGGATTTGTAAAGCAGTTCAGCATGTGAAAGGAGTTATAAAATGCCAAATAATAAGTAAATACATAAAAGGTGATGAGAGCTTGGCTTGCACCAGATAGAAATGGTCCCTGCTCAATGGATATCATTTTCTGTGATCTCAAAACTCAGAAACATATATATTTTTAAGGAATCCTTTTTGTATTGTCCATTTTGGATGCTCCCTGGCTTAGTAAGAGAAGGGCTTGGAATCATTGTTATTGATAAGTTTTTCTTTCAGCCATCCAGGAATTGTCTTTGAGATTTTGTTGTTGTTGATGGGTAGGAGGAGCTTAAGGGAAAACCCTATTTCATTTAAGAGGGCCTCTGGCAGAATTTAAAAATTTTAAATTTAAAAGGTCATCCTTCTGGAAAGGGTATAATTATAATATCCCCCACCCCCCAACTAATTTTTCTTAAGGAAGTAATATGGATTGAGTGAAACAGACATCAGTAGTAAGATAACTCAAGATTCAAATTCTAAGCATGCCATGGTTTTACAGGGTAACCTAAACAACTGATTCCTCTTTTCTTATCTTCTATTCCCCCAACTAAAAAATAATATAGGTGACCTCTTACATTGTCTCTCTCTCTCTGCACAGTATAGTAAGTAATACAAACTCATTACAGGCTCAAAAAATCTTTGGACAGAATCTGTCTCATGTTATGTACTATAATTTAATACGAATGCTCAATAATGAAACTTTCACTCTAAGGATCTTTAGTGTTGGATAATGTACATGATGTCACACAAAAAAGTTACAATAAAGGTCAACCTAACCCCACCCATGGGTTCCTAGATGAAAACTCTGGAATCCTGGTTACAAGGATCTGGTTTCTATATTAAAAAGCCTCTGAAAGCATGACCCCCTTTCCTTTAGTCTTACAAGGAGTGACCCAAAGATGTGTATTGTAGATAAAGTACAGTAATCTTATCTCCTCTCACACTTCTTGCATCATTATGCTACCTGGTTTCCAATTATTGTATAGAGTAGCTAACCTTCCAAAGGTCCCTCTTATATCTCATTAATCATAGTTTTGGGGAAGAGCACACCAAGGGGCTGAGCAAACTGCCCTTAAGTTTCCTTTGCCTCCCTCCCTCCCTCCCAGCTACCCACTGGGACTCCTGCATTTAAACTGTCAGATTGGGATTTTTTGATAGGCTGAGAAATATAATATATAAATCTCTTTTAGTGTCTGAAACTGGAAAAATGACTACCAAACTACTTTTCCTTTATAAAATAATAGAAACAGGAGTATGTATGGTCACAGGAAAATCACTTATAAACCCCTCTTGCAAGGCAATGAAATCCAGACATTGAGCTACCCCGGACCCTGAAGAGTAAGTACACCACCCCCTCCCATTCCATACCCACCCCACCCTGCACACACACAGGCACGCGCACACACAGGCACACATACACAATGGTGATGCATACCTATTTCTGCTTTCTTTTAGGCTTAAAGCCTTGATCAGGATAGGGAATTCTTGCTTATGAGCAGCTCCAGAAACCGCAACGGCAGATTCCCTCTCCCCTAACACTCAGGTTCAGGTTAAGCGCCGCCAAGAGTCCAACCAGTGGTCACTCTGAAATGTTCAGGAGGGGGAGGGAGGAGAAATAAAAACGTCGTTTCTATTTTGCCACCCATGGCCAACTGTTAACCAAACCAGTCCTTCCAAGGGAATGACTTGTCCTCCCATGTGCTTGCCTTTTATATGAGTGGTAGAATCCATTTCCACCAAGACAAAAAGAAATGTCACTATCTAGCAGTATGTTCAGGAGATCAGCCAGTCTCCAGGAGATGAAAATGTCCAGGTCTGAGACTGGGAGATTGCTCCGCTTTAGCCTCACAGCCCCAAAAGCCACTGCTTCAATTCTGAGTTGGAATGATGGGTGATGACAGAAGCCATAACCACAGTCACCTTTAGGGTGTTTCCTTTAAATTGCTATCAGTAGCAGGACAGGTGAGTGAGGCCCTGCATCCCAGAAGAAAAGGCAGTAATTAGAGGGCAGGTTTTTGGTAAAAAAAATTCAACTGCTACAGCCTCAGCTGGACAGAAGCAATCCCAAATGCTTTTTTACCCAAGTCATTAAATATATATTGCATACTGGCTATTCCAGATACTTTCCAGCCTAACGCTAGAGGAATACAAAAGACAGACAACATATTTTCCCTGCCCTCACAGAGCTTACAATCAATGCCCCATCCATTCTTCCTGGAGCAGCAATGGCAACTGCCCTTCTCAGTGCATAGCAGCAACCCCACTCCCTCAAGAAGATGCCTCCACTTGCTTTCTCAGCACTTCCTCAGCCCCGTGTCTCCGAAAGAGGAAAGGCTAGACTCACACAATCAAGACTAACTGTAAACACCCACCAGATAAGGGTTTGAGATAGTCCTCATTTCTAATTACTGCTTTGACCCTCAGAAAAGGCCCTCCAGGTTCAACCAAAATGGTTATCAAACTGAAAACTTTGTGTTTAGGTGGCATACAGAAGATCCACATTCTTGTTTTCTGTCCTGCCTTAGGCATGACTCACTCATATCACGTAAAGGAAAGGCTTTAATCTGCACCAGAGATACCATTTGTGGAGCAAGGCAATGCAAAAGAAGCACACAAGCATTTCTGCATTTCGAGAGCATGTCCAAAACATCAGAGTTTTTTAAAAATCCACAAAACTGCACAGTGATTAATTTAACATTATTTCCTTGCAATGTTGTCAAAAATAAAATGAACAGATATAGAGTGAGAAAACATGAAAAGTTGCCTTTCCATCTTGTTTTGGCCCAATGTGTAATCATAATCAAAAGCAAAAGCATCTCCCATCTGCAAAATAATTATTTTGGGATATCTCCCCTAATTTCAAAGAGAGGAACAAGTTCTAATTGGAATCAAAGTTGGACTATTAACAGAGCTACGGTAAATAACCACTGTGCTTCTGTTGTCCAATTCTAAACAAAAACAAAACAAACAAAAAAAAAAGTTGTCATTTTTAAAACTGAAACATGCAGAAAACAGCCCAAGGCTTCTAAACTTGGACCCCTGGAGAGAAACCACCATATAATTCTTTGCCAGTACTATTTAGATTCTTCATGCCAATCTTGATTGGCTTGCTTCTAATGCCCAGTTCCTCACCATAAAAACTACTTGTCCAAAGTCTTACTCTCTTTCCTTAATTTTATCCTCTCTCTTACAATCCTTTTCAAAACTCAAATCATTTTAAGTCAACCAAACACAGACTGTCCCTCCCCATTACCCTGCCCTCTGGCCTTTTTTGTTTCTGTTTAGAAGAGGAAAAGAACTTAGCCTAAGAAAAAAAGCTTTGCTGATTTCTCTCCAGTTTGCAGATTGCTTCTTAAAAAACTTATGTTCATCTACATATTAAAAGTTACATAAAAATGAAAACATTACTCCATTTATTTATTAGAGAAAGGGAAGGAAAATATTCTTGTCTCATGTGCAAGAAGTAAAATAGTATGAACTCTGAAAGCTTTAATCTCCCACAGATTTAATCACCCCAACTGTCAGGGGTCTGACATCATCTTCAATCAATAAAATAACCTTGTTTCTCCTGGACAAGCAGACTGTCCCTGAGGATATTTGATAGGGGAAGAAAGGATATCCGTGGTTCTCTCTTTAAAAATGCAACTTGAATCTATATATTAAACTCTTCTATAGAAATAACAGGTCAGCAAGGGCAAGCTAAATTCTTACTCCATTTGCAGTCGTTGGCCTCTCCCAGTATACCTGGGAGATTGAGCCAAAATACATTAGTGAGAGCCCAGATGTTTCCCAACCCAAGTCCCAGAAAATAACATGACAAGGTGGCCAAATTCCCCCCCTTCAAATAAATTTTGAAATATGCCTATAAGATCTTCTCTTTGTCCCTTCTATCTCCTCCTATTCTATCCCCACCCCTCACTCCACCAACCACAATGAAGAATCTAAGTCTAGGAAACCTGTTTTTCTGCTAAATCTTGGTCAACTTGTTCATATAATTTTACCTCCAGTTCTCTGGAAATAAGCCAGTTCAAAGTTTTCCCTGTATCTGCATGCACATATTTGTGCATAAAACACAGGCACGCGCACACACACACACATACACACATGCACACACCCTCCCATTATAAAGAGAGGCAAATGGCCCACTGAATTCTCTCATGTCCTCTCAGGTTGGTCTATATTGTGGCCTGATGTGTCCTAGGGAACACCTTTCCCAATAATCTTGCAACTCAGGATACTAATTCACTTCCTCTGGGAGGTAAGAAACAATGGTCCCTTTGCAGGTTAGCCCTAAACTTTTGATGGGTAATGGGCAGGCAGTATAAACACAATGGATAAGAGCCAGAGCCTAGAGTTAATCTATACAAGTTCAAATTCTGGATCTATGATTTACTAACTTACCTCATACATTTCTCTTGACCTCCCCAAGTCTCAAATTTCATTATTTGCAAAGTAGGAATAATGGTGCCCATGCCTCATAGGGTTTCATAAAGCTGAAGGGAGGTAATCCATG